CCTCTCTTATAAAAATGACTAATTTGACATTGTGCCCCTGGGGAAGTAAAAGCAAAAAGGCAGCCAAGTTGGCTAAGACAGCGCAGTGCTTCACAGTGAAGATGTCTGCTAGTCAAAGGCGGGCAGCTTCCCAAGCGTATGCTCTGATGGACACAACAATGAATAATGGTTAAAGCTGGTACTGCCTTTCCTTTTCCTAATTCTGTGAGATTTGGGTTAAAGCCCTTGAGAGATGGCCTGAACCATCTTCCAACAGAAGTGCAGAGCATTAAAATGGGATACAGGTTTTGCACAGATGTTATGCTAGGCAAGGCCACTCAGTAGGTAATTTTCTCCCTGGAAGCCTCAGGCTGATGTCCTCAACACAGAGGCAGCTGGATGACCCCGCTACAGTCGTCTGTGCCTGAATTTTTGCTGAGGTCAAGGAAGAGGCCAGCAGCTTCTCTGACAGGCCTGGTACTGAAAAACATACATCCTATAGGTCCCAGCATGTAGTACCATCCAGGCTCAGATCCATGAATTTCAAAATATTGTGTAAACAGAGATATCTAATTCACTGACCACAACAAGACTCACCACTACTCTTTATGTAAGCATGTGCACAGGCACTAAACGTGCATCAAGAGGACACGTGGATGAAATCATAGCGTTTCCTTGTCAGAAAGAAACAAACAATTAGACATGACACTGTGTTCATTTTTGTTCCACAGGTTCTGCCACCACCTTGCTCCTGACTTGTACTCTCACTGCACAAACCTAAGTCAATGATATGAAAAAGCCAACAGTGCAAAAAGGGAATTTCCTCTGGAAGGTAGGGGTGGGAAAGTAGTTTGAGAATAATAAATAAAGTAATAGGCAACATAAAACAGGCTTCCTAGTAATGGTCTCTCCCATCCTGTACTGTAAACATTGTTATCAATAAACTTAGTGCTTAAGTTTTTAAAATGCTTGTGACAACTTACCAAGTGCCAGCATGCAGCTTTTACAGCCACAGAGGAAGATGCAAAACTCTTGATGTTTTTTCATGACACGGAGGAGAAGAGGGGAACCGTGCTGATTGCAACACGCGGGACTGCTCTAACTGGTAAGAGGAGCGTGCCTCTGCCTACCCAGACAGGAGAGCAAACGTGGTGATGAAGGTCACATCACAGTTATTCATGAGCTGAACAAGAGGATCGTAAACCTGTGCACAAGCAGGGTAACTTTTAAATGAAACCAGCAGTACATAAAATGCAGGGAATAAAAGAAAAAGCTCTGTTGCTAAAGGACATTAAAGTGTATTTTTTTTTGAGCACAGTCATCCAAAAACAATTATTAAGCTCGTCAGTTTCTGAATACACTTGGCCTTAAAATATTAACATGTGCTTTTTATTTTATGCCTCAAACTGGATGAAATTAATTAAATACACCCAAAATGGCATGAGCAATCCCTCAAGCACTAGCTAGTTTAATGACTGATCTTCTGCTTTAGTATGAAGGGTAAAGGTTTATTTTTTTTCTGTCATATGATCCACCATCATACAGTTCATGTGTTAGGCATCTCCCTCTGTCCACTGGCAACAATTACCTGAAGCATGCCTGTAACATTTTCACTTGTTGAAAAAATGAGAAGCAGAAGAACTTCGCATTTTTATACATGGTGGAGCTGACAGCTTACTTAATTTCCTTCAGCTTTATGCAACACAGATGAAATGCAGTGATTTTTGTTACTGTTCAAACATGCTGGCAGAACTTTGACATAGTATTTTTTTTTCTCTCTGTGGTAATTACTAGTGTTGGTTTGCATGTGCTAAGAATAATGACACACATGAATAACTTGCCATACTTTATGACTCACGGAGATGCCTTCGCAGAAATGATCTTGGTCATATTTTGTTCACCATGTACTGTGGGGAGAGCTTTTCGGTGGGGATGGTTTGTGGTGTTTTATTTTAACAGCCTCTTCCTCAGCAAGTGAAGAATATATTACGTACGTAAAGACTTCTTGATACCGCCGTTTCCCCAGCCCTGTATAAATATTTTGGTTTAGCTGTGTTTGAACCATGGGGCCAACGAGTTTCATCCTTTGTTTCAACCATAACAGTGTGTTGTTTGAAGTCCGAGATAACCAGGTCTCTACTTTCCAAAGCTGTCACTTCCCGAGACCCTTTATGCTGTGATCTTACAGATGCTCCCTGCTGGCGTTTCATTGTTAATTGTCTTTGGGGGGCACAAGCAGGCAGCCTCCTCTGTTCAATGCATGACCAGGGTGTTTGTTTACCTTACCCAGAGGGATGGGGCGGCCAGGTGCTGAGCCCTGTTTTGGTCACCCCGTGATCCCAGGCATTCGCCACGAAGAGGAGGAGGAGGAGAAAAAGAAGGAGGAGAAGAATGAGGAGGAGGGCCACGCATGCCCCAAACACACATGGGCAGGGGAGCTGAGCCAACATGCAGATGAGTGCTCAGCGCATACTTTGAAAGCACAACAGGGTTTTCACTCCTGAGTGTCCTCTCAGTGTCGCAAGAGAAATTCTGGAGGAGTAAGTCATACCTTCGCTGGAGCGCTGGCTGCAATGCGGCTCTGCCACATACCTGCTGCCTCTCATTCCCACTTTGTGCTTTAAACCTCTACATTTTTAGGATCTTATTCCCCCTCTGTTTTGGCACAGGCGAGAATACATCCCTGGGATGCCCCAGCACTCAGCTGTTCCTCCTCTCCTCCGGTGAACCTGCAAATTAGCATTGCAGCTGCTCAGGTCAGAAATCTGGGGCCAAATTATCCCCTCGGACATCCATCCATTGCTTTCAGCACAAAACGTCATGTACCTGAACAATGTAACAAGTGCTAAAAGATCCTTCACCTTAATTCACTGCACTACAAGAGGGTCATTTTTTCAACATATTTCTGAGATACCATTGCAGAGAAAGAAGAAAAGAAAAAAACAAAGAAAAAACAAAACAAACAAACAAACAAACAAACAAACAAAAAACACTACTTGCAGCATGGGTCCTCTTTAAAACAAGAAATTTATGAGCAACAAGGACTGAAAAAAAAGTCTTATCTGGACTACCACAGAATCCTAGTACAATGATTTTGCAAATATTTATTATTTTTATTATCTTTATCTCTGTGCTTTTCTTTTGTCTTTCCAATTACTTCAGCCTTGAGTACTGGAGCTACTTCTCCCTCACGCTAAAAAAAAAACAAAAAAAACAAAAAAACAGAAAGCACCAGTGGATCCACAACAAAAAACGTCCAACACAACATTTACAGCCTGCATTATTCATCAGGTTATACATAGCTCCTCCTTTTATCTCTCTGTATACCAACACATGTGCAAAAAACACAGATAAGGGCTAAAGCAATTGTGAGGAGGATGGACACTTCCTAAAATAAAACAAACACACTTGTATACTACAGAAGCATTTTCAACCAAAACAAAAACTATTTTTTCTTTATTTCTCTAGCTTAAAGATTTTACTCTCTGACAATGATTAGTACAGAGGGAACGCAATCCAGGTCAGCAAGGAGCTCTGCATGTCCCTGACCCAAGCAGGGCCACCCTCACTGTTCAGTTTTGATATATACCACGCACTCCAGCCTACTGAGCGTGTACCACTTGTAATGGAGCAACAGTGAATTTTACACCAGCAATAAGTGTCAATGAAATTAAATATATGTATACAATAAGAATCGCTTTTAAAATAAGATTTTTAATAGAGGAAAATAGGGGCAACTTAATCGTTTTGTTCCAGATTCCAGCACATCAATTTAGCAAGAAATAAATAACTCCCAGCCTTTCATCTTATCTTTTTGGCAGATGTTTCCCCTGTATAAAGGGTGGCACAATTGTTTTTGTCAGTGTTATAATTAAAACTGCTATCCAGCTGACATACAGTTTTTAATGGCTTCCCTTAGGATTCTAACAGATGTTGCCTTATTAGATCGGGACTCTCCCGAAGAGAGAAATGTCACTGGCATAATCAAGACTTCTCTTCCAGTCTCAAAGTGTGCTGTCACAACTTGCCTGGTGACATTTGGCCATAAGGAAACGAGTACCAGCCACTTTCCTAAGGAGAAGAGGAGGTATTCTGAAGAGTTTGGAAGAAATACCAGAAAAATCTTACTCTGAGGCAACAAGTGGCATGGTCTGGCCTTTGCTGAGGCCAGAAATAGCTGGAGAGCATCAAAGGAGGTGGCCCTGACAACTGCACCACCACCACCAGCCAAAGGCACTGTAGCTTTCTGTTGGTACAAATAACCACAACTTCAGCAAAGGGTCACATGTAATCTGGTGAGGAGCCAAGGGGTGGCAGCTACCGGGGGCTCCTGTCCCAAGACAAGTTACAGCCACACGACACAACTGCTAATTTGAGATGGGGAGTTAGTTTAAATAACACAGCCTGTCACAGCAAGCTTGGAGCAAGCTTTTTAAAGGCAGTTCAGCTCCCTTGAGGGTCACCAGAAACCTAGAGGAGCACAGGGTGGAAGCGAGGGTGGATGCGCGGGGGCTGCTGCCCTCCCCGGGCTCGGGGTCTCACTTGGGCAGGGGAGGTGGCTGGGCACATCGGTGTTGATTCTCCCATCTTAGCATCTTGAGGCCGGGCGTTAATTAAACATGGAAAATGTCCGTGATGAGTTATCTGGTGTACAGACTGTGGGGGGAGAATGTGTTTCTGGAATGACCCCAAACTGCCTTTTTTTGCCTTCCCCAAACTGTGGGGGTCCCCTCCCACAACCCCACATCCAGCACAGCCACCCATAGCACACCCCCCAGATCCCCAAAACCAGGGCTCGACGACCTAGCCCAGGCCTCCCCCGGCCTCCGCCCAGCTCCCCACCGCCCTGCCGGCGAAGGGGCCGGGCTCCGGGGGGCGGTCCCCCCGCCGCCACCGCCCCCTGCCCGCTGAAGAGCGCCGGGCAGGCCGGGCGGCGCGGCACAGCGCAGCGCACACGGCTCCGAGCGGCGCCTCGGCACGGCTCGGCTCGGCTCGGCTCGGCAGCGCCCACGCAGCCGCCCGCCTCCCTCCTCCTTCCTCCCGCCCCCTTCCTCCTCCTCCTCCTCCTCCTCCTCCTCCTCCGGGACTCTCCGCTGGGATCAAGCCGGCGCTGCCTCCTCCTCCTCCTCCTCCTCCTCCTCCGCTGTTGTTGTTGGCCGGCTCTGCCACATCGAGGATATTTTGGCTCCCGGAGCGAGGCAGCGCGCCTTCTTCATTCCCTCTCTCTCTCTTTTTTTTTTTTTTTATTTTTATTTTTTTATTTAATTTTTTTTTTTTTTGGACCCTGCCGCCGAGGAGGGGGCGAAGCCGAGGAGCTGGCGAGCTCCGCGCTCGGGAGCCAGGTGAGCGGGGGGAATCCCAGGGGAGCCCCGGGCTGGGGTGGGGGGCTCCGGGCATCGCCCCCAGCCCGCACCCGGACCCGGACTCGGACCCGGGGGGTGATGGCGGCCGGCGCCGCCCGCGGCGGGGGAGGAGGGCTTGGCTTGGGGGGAGGCTGGCAGGAAGGGGTTAACGGGCAGAGGGTGCTCGAAAGGGACCCCAAAAACGCCGGGTCGGGTGAATTTCCCCCGTCGGAGTTTGGGTGCCGAAAGGGGGCTCCCCCCTCCCCCAGCAGCTGCAGGGGGTTGGGCAGAGGTGGGAAACGAGATCCTGCTGACAGGAGCCCGGTTATCCCTTTTGTTTGTTTGTTTGTAGGGTTCTGTTTGCTGGGTTTAGGGTTTTTCTGTTTCTTTTTTTTTTTTTCTTTATTTTTAAGAAGTAAAAAAAAAAGCCGTGGAGGTGCTCTCACTGCAGCCACTAGCGTGGCTTAGGTCGCCCGGCTGGGATGGTTCCCAGCCCGCTCGGGCTGTGGGCGAGCACCCGGTTATTGCTGAGGAGAAGTTGATCAGAATTCAGGAGTATTAGTTAATAAGTGCCTGATCCTGTTGACCCTGTTCTGGTTCACCCGCTCGGCTCTGCGGGGGTGTTGAAGAAGGTGTCCTGCCAGTTAAACCAATTATAGCTGGCAAGATGCAGTCAGCAGCGGCGGAGGAGCTGGAAGCGAGGCCCAGGCACATCATGCCCTAGTGTCTTTTCTGGGCTCAAACTGCAGCTTTTGGAGTCCAGTGGGGGAAAAAAAAAGGCTTTAACCCTTTCATCGTGAGAAGCTACGCTGCCTTCTCCGTCCTGATAGCTTGTTGCTGGTTGTGCTGCAGGGTGGGAAGCTGATGTGTGGCGAGCAAAGGCTATAGGAACCCATAATAACCTGAGAGATATGGTTAGAGTGTTACAAAACATGCTAGGATGTTCCTGGGTTGTTAGACCGAAGCTCTGATGCCTTTTTTCACAAGGTGTGTAGCGCACAGGGAAGGCCATGGAAACGCGACGAGTTGGGTTAATGAGCAACGCCGAGTAATGAAGGCTTCTTGTGAACCCTCTCTTAGTGCCCGAAGTGTGTCCAAAGAAGCAAACAAACAAAAAGCCTGGAAGGAGGGAAAACCTTTTAATCAGTGGGAAAGTTCTCAACAGAATTCATGCAGAGGCCACGACTCCAGGGCTGCACCTGAAATTGTTAGAAATCCTGTTGGTAGCAATCACTGGGGATGAGATCTAAGATCACTGAAAATGTGCATAGTGGTTTCCCAAGTGCTTTCCCACTGGTAAGGCTTATAGGGATAAGTAGCTATATAACCGCTGATTTCAGCGTCGAAACAGGGTATTAGAATTGGCCGTATGTTTGTTTGTTTTTAAAAAGCTCAGTTGAATGCAGGGGTAAACAGCTTAAACTGTGGGAAATGTAATGAAAATATTAGGATGCTTGCTGAGTGAGACTCACGCTGTGTAAAATTCTTTGGTGCTCAATGAGATGTGTAATTTAGTGCAAATATTTGTACATGCTATTTGAGGTAAAACCCATCATTCAGTAGGTTGCACTTTTGGGTAGCGTTAATGAAGTATAAGTTGACTGTTCTTTTTGTATCCAGTTAATTTGTTTTGGTGATAAGCCCCATACATCTCGTAACAGTGAAGCTGAAATGGGCCTTTCAGATTGAGGACTCTTATTACTATTTTATTTTTTGTGATTGCGTATAGAGGAGGATGAAAAGGATCTGTCTTTAGCTGTTGGGTATTTTTCTTTTCCTCTGCTATACAGACAGACTTTGAATTTGTCATTTTGGTGGGCTCTGCTTGTTTTGTTAAGCTCTCATTTGCCATCTTTTTCTGAGTTCAAGATTGTATTTTGATTTATTTTTTTCCTGTGTTAAAATGGCTGGAGAGAAATTGCTTGTAATTATTGCTATTCCCACAGAACTGTGATTATTTATATCCTCCGTGACTTTGCTTAAGTAGAGGTGCACACTTTCAGATAGTTTCTGTAAAACAAAATAGTTTAGCACAATGCTTTGTAGAAGGAAAATTGTTGAGACAACTTGCTGCGGTCTAGTCTGATAAGGGATCACTTACCGACACCTGAATTACAGCATCGTGATAAACTTGAACAATGGTTGTAAAATTGGCTTTATTCCTTATGTTTGATCTCTCATAGGTCAGTAAAAGGATAAGAATCTTATCGTTCTACTCCTTGAGTCATATGTCTGAGAGCAAGTTATACAGGCCATGCACAATCCTTTTCCTGGTAACACAGGGAACGTGATACCTTTGACTTCAGTAGCTGTTGGTGGTCCTAGTTCCGTAAGAAGGACATCTTACGGCATGAACCCCTTAACTTAAACCTGAGCCTTCCAAAGGTGTGTAAATACACTGATCCCATGTTTAGAAAATGGGCAGAATAATACTGTTTGGAGATGCTTTGCTTAGTGAAGGAAGCAGGCTGATGGTACCTGGAGTTAGCTTCCAGAGGTAATTCATGAGAGGAGTGAGTAGGGTGGATGCCAGCCTGTAGCGTGGTGAGCGCCCTGTTGTTTTTCTTCGGTACTTGAAAGGCAAAGTCCGGAGTGAATTGGGGCATGTAGGCATGAATATAGTAAGCAAAGATAGTGCAAGGCTTAATGTTTAAGATAATGGGTGAAAAGTTAGAAAGTGACTCTAAGCAATAGGATGGACAAAGGACCTCTGTGGGTTTTTTTGAGTGTCTAATAAGATGAGGTACTAAAAGATCTCCCTTTGGGTATCACAAGCTAATCATCCTCTTGTGGCTTATATCACAAAACTCTTAATTCTGCTGATGCCTGGGAAAGGTCTTCCGCTCAAAAGCTGTTCAAGCAAGATGAGAATTGTGCCTTGTGTAGTTGGGATGTGGGCAATGAAAAAGTCTTTGCCTGTACCTCACACAGAGGGCTGTTCTGCAGTCCGTGCTCAAGCAGTATGAGATGTAAAGATGCCTCTGTTAACTTGCTTCCTTCCTCAATAGCAACATACTTCATGTGACCCCTCTTGTTTTTCAGATGAGTGAATTTGGGATCAGAAACATGGATCAAGTAGCTCCCGTGTCGACCATGTACAGAGGAATGCTCAAGGTGAGTACTTGTGATCAAGCAGCTGTTTAAACCCCACTGTTCTCATCTCCTGGCTAGGGCATGTACTGTGTTTTTATTAATGCTAGCAAAGAGTTGTACAACCATGTTCAATGCTGAATGCATGTTTAAGTTTTAATAGCTTGATTGTGACCTGTAGATTTCTTCTAGGGTATTCCCACAGAGTTTGGTGGATATGAGCAAAGTGGAACTGAGGGAAACGTAAATCTTACGTCCCCTGTCCTAAGGATTTGAAAATGAGAGGGTAGACAAGAGTTGAGCCCAAATTCATTGGAGATCATAGAAATTCAGTCTAAATAAAGGTTCCAGGGCTGGCAGTATGAGTGATCTTTATATAGCTAACTTGAGCAGATTGGCAGAGTGTTGTGCTGTTAGCTCTAGTTAAACCTCATTCTTCAAGACTATGGTATAAAAAAAGATTTTTCACTTACTGCATGCAACTATATGAAATGGCAGTCCAATACCTGTAAGAAACCAAAGTTAGTTATTCAATATATTTTATCCTTAGGTAAGCTGTGTTTATTATCTTGTTTGGAAAACAGCTTAAAAACTGAAGGCAAAGGATAATTAACCTATAACAACTCAGTCTGTTAAGTGCTTCTTACTTCCACGTTCACGCATGCTACTTTTCATCCCAGTATCACTTTTTTAATGCAGTATTAATTAATGTAAACCTCATAATAAGCACAGAAAGTGACTTCCTAATCTTTAACTTTGAAGAATGTCTGTGTATTAGTTTAGACACAGTTTTAGAATCAGTTAGTGAGACTTCAGTGTTCTGACTCCTGATACTTTGTCCCCTCTTCACTTTTGCTACTGCCGCAGCAGCAACAGGGTCCAAAAGAGATTCGCTCAACTTGATAGCTGTGTGCTCTTGAACACAGTAGTTGTGCTAAGCAGATTGTCAGTGTTGGTTGTCATGTAATTAATTAAAAATCAAGACCTGTATTCTAGTACTTTGTAGCTGCTCTCACTTCTTTTTATTTTTTTTTCCCTGTAATAATTACTGTTAATATATGTTGAAAAAGCAAATAAAATGGTTGCATGAATGATAGGGCAAGCAGAATTTATTCTACATTGTTTTTCCTCTTGATTTACTATTAAAACAAGAACCTGCTTAAACATTAATTTAATCCTTTTTGAAATGTGAAACTAGTACAGTATAGATTTTACTCATTCACATGCCACAGCATTTTTTCCAGTGACTCAGGATAAGGGTCAGCTATTTACACAAAATGCAGGAGTTTCCAGATTATGTTGAAAGAACTTGCCCTTTCTTCTAGGTACTAGCGATGAGTCAGTGTTTTTTATCTAGTAATGTACCAAGAATTCTTTAATAACAATTGCCAAATATGTTAGTGTGTTGTTTCGTTTGGTTGTGAGGTTTTTCACGGGTTTGCTCTGACTCTTTCTGCTGGCTGTGGTTGGCACCTGAACTGACTGTATGCTATTTATCTCCACTGGCCAGCTCTTAGTGAGGACTTCTGAATCCAGTTAACCCCTAGAGACATGATATTGTGTACTTTGTCAGCTTTTTCTTCTGTGGAATGCATGCTTTCATAATTAATGTAGTGGCATGCATTACAGCTTATTATAAAATACAAATAAAGGTTGATGGTCCTTAGTTTCTTGTTAGGGTTCGTATGAGGTACTGGGGAGGAGTAGCAAGAGCACCCAAGAGGCACCTAGTGCAAGAAAGACTCCAAGCCCCTCCAAACCTTGTAGGATACCAAAAGGAAAGTTAGGGAACATGTGGAAATGTTAACACTTTCCTGCTATTGCAGAAACATCGTTCGGGTTGCTTTTGCTTTGCACCTGAATGCAGCCCTGAAATATCATTTTCAGTTTGGGCACTAACTGGCATACTGCTGCACGCTTAAAAAATAAAAGAAGCATTTGCAAGTTGCCTTAGTCTTCACCTCCCTGAGCTGTCATAAGTGTTGTAGCTTTCCTGAACAATATTCTGTCCTCAGGTGCTTTTGAGATCTCTGGGCGATTCTTATCCGTTTTTGCCTCTGGATGGTGCAGATACTGTTTCCTTATGACTAACAGACAAGTTGCATAAGTTGTTTTTAAAGTTATTTCCTCCTTTTTTTTCACGTTTCCCTGCCTCCCCCACCAAACCCTTATGTGGCTGGAGAGACCCAGTGATTGTAGTCTGTTTTTAGCATATGTATCTGACACAAGTTAAGTATGCAAGTTAGGTTTTCAAAATGTACCGATATTTATAAGGCTGCTAATGCATCAGTAGAATTTGCTTTTATCTGGAACACTTTTATTACCCTCCTATTTATCCCTTTCTGTATAATTAAATTAGCTATTTCACTGAGCACTTGAAGACTGCAAAATGTAGTGGCTGGCAAATCCAGTAACTCAGAAGTATAAAAGTCCTCAAGTCCTGTAAAACTGCCTGTATAGCTTCAAGTGATGGGGTTCAGACTAAGGATTTGCTGTTAAATAAATTAAAAAAAAAAAAAATTGTATAAATCTGTTGTAGGTCTTTTCACTGCCAGTTGTTTTTTCCAATATTTAACAGTCCTGCCTCTGCCGTCACAAACTCAAGTGGGCAGTGAATTTGATGGGTTAAGGAAATGCTAGAATTTCTTCAAAGTGTATCTGGGAATACGCATGCATTCTCTATTGTTAAAAATCTCAATTACAGGAAAACTTAGAATATCCTTACTTTGCTTTACTGTGACTTGCAGAACATGCTATGTGATTAGTGCTGTGGTCTGAGTGTTAGTTGTTTTTGTATTAATGTACAAAAAGATAGGCTGTCTTTGTGTTTACATTTCAAAGGCACGAGTTAGTTGATTCAAGATAGTGGTTGTGCATGATCTGAATCTAGGAAACTGAATGCAACCACTTCCTAGCAATTGAGTTGATAGTGCTCCAGCAAAATGCTAACATTAAGGCTTTTATTTTTCTGTTGCTTTGCAGCGTCAGCCAGCGTTTGACACCTTTGATAGCACAAACTCCCTCTTTAGTGGATATTTTTTATCACTAAATGAAGATCAAACGCTTCAAGAAGTGCCAACAGGATTTGATTCTACTTCTTATGGTAAGTTTTACTTTGTTCCTTGGTCCAATCCAGAGATCAGAGAAAAATCTGTGGGGTCTAATTCATCCCTATACTCTTACAAGTGCTATGTAGATTTTCCTAAAAAGAAATGTGTTTAATTACACAGCCTTGTGTTTAGAGCCATGACTTTATCCGTGTGAGTTGCTCTGTTGGTTGTTGCTGTTCTCTGCATTGTAAAAGAATGGGATCTGGGATTCAGTAGTCTAAGGTAGATTGATAGTCTGTGGAAGAAGCCTTAGTTTTTAAAGCAGAGCTCGTTTTAAGGCAGTTTAAAAAAATAAAATATTTTAAGTATTATAAATTAAATATTTTAAAGTATTGTGTATATTTAAACTTACAATTTAATTATGGTTGAGATGTTGCAAGTATTCTGCAAGCTCTTTTTTTTTCTTTTTGACCCTCTGGCATTAAATCCTAGAACAGTCCTTGTTTTTCTTTTTCCCTAGGGATTTGTTTTACTCCTAATCTTAAAGGGGAGGGGGGAAACAGGGGTGAGGATGTTTACAAGTCTTTTTTGTGTGTAAGATAGGACCTACCAATAGTTCTATACGAATCCTTGCCTAAACTCCTTTTACTAACTTTTTTTCCCTCACAAAAAAGTCAGTATTTTATCTGATGCTGCCTTCATCTCCCATTGTAACATGAGATCCTAATCAGTTACCTGCTCTGGTCAGCAAAGAAAGTCTTAGCAGATATTGAGGATGGGTGTGGTTAAAAACAGAAGCTAAGCTTGTGGCTGGCAATGAGATCCACTTGCTGGGTCAAATGGAGCCTGTACATAGTCAGGACCCAGGAAAACAAGAAGAGCCACACACCTTCATGAACTGGCCTGAAGTCTGATAATTCACCACCTTTATATGCCTCGTCACCGTTACATGCCTCTCTCACAGCAGAGCTTTCAAGTGCTGCCTGTGTGCTAGTTTCCAGAGGCTCTCAGGTGTTCAGGGATGCAGGAGTGAGGTAGTTAAAGTGTTCTCAAATTACCCCCTATCTTAACAATGCCAATGACAAACCAGATATGAGTAAAAGCCTTCTTAATCTGAAACATGTAGAGAGTCTAATTACTTTTATTGAGCTTATAAATTCTTTGTTCAGAGTAATATGAGACATCTTTCGGTGAAGATACTTCAGTAAGAAATGCAGAATGGAAGCTAAATTTGTTCTTAAAATGTGATCTGTTTGCAAACATAAAGATCAGTTATGCAGATTACTAATTTATTGCATTACTTAGGCTTGTGACCAGTTGCTTGTTTGGTTCAGGTGACTGAGAAATGCATGGAAAGGTCAGAAACAGTTTGCTGGAACATGGCGTGGAATAGTGCGAGCTAGTTCTTAGTAACCCTACTGTCAGTGACTTAGCTCTCAAACTAAATGAAGGCTGTCTAGAGTTAAAATAAAGAAGTCTGAGGTCAAATTAGAGGTGAGAAAATAGGAAAAGGCAGTCTCATTTCCTTTTTTTTTTTAAAAAAAAGTTCTAGTAAAAGTCCCTTGCAACAAAGTCACGTTGTATAACTATTAAGAGTCAGTAAGGATCTATATGATGAAAACTAGTAAAGATTTAATTTATCGTGAAGTAATGTTATCAACCCAGTACTGCAAAGACTTCAGTGTTGACAATATGTTAAATCAGACTGGATGTTCTGAAGATGGATTTACCATGTTTGTTTCTGTTTTAAAATACATAGTTTCTAGCATCCAAGGCACTTTTTTCACTGGCCTAAAAGCTAATGCATCTTCTTTTTCCCTCCTCCCACTTTCTCTCTTTTAGAGTCCAACAACTGTGAATTGCCTCTGTTAACCCCGTGCAGTAAGGCTGTCATGAGTCAGGCCTTGAAAGATACTTTCAGTGGTTTCACAAAGGAACAGTGTCGGCTGGGAATCCCAAATAGTAAGTGTTTTCTATTTATTAGCGTTTTTTTTAATGCTAAGGAGGACGCTGAATAGCGGCTCTTTCAAAAGAGAAAGAATGATGTCAGTAGGAAATACAAGAATGGATCCTATGTGAATCTGGCACAGCTTGATTCAGAAAGACTAAACTTGGTGGTATTAAAAATGGGTGCCTGGAGATCTCATATTTTGGCAGCCTAAGAGAGACAACCAAGCTGAGGACATCTCTGATTAAAAGTGAATGCGGAAGGAAAATAGAGGACTTCTTTTTAAATTCAAAAATAAATTAGTTCTGAAGCTTAGGCTTCAGAATGAAGTAACTTGTGGTTAACAATTTCTTTCATTCATTGCCTTCTGATGAAGATTGTTTCAGAAGCTGACACAGGTCAGGAGTTCTCTAAATACCGGATCCTTTCTGTCTTACAGATCCCTGGCTGTGGACTGAGCAGCAGGTTTGCCAGTGGCTTTCTTGGGCTACCAATGAGTTTAGCTTGGCAAATGTGAACTTCCATCAGTTTCTTATGAGTGGCCAAGACCTTTGTAACCTGGGCAAGGAGCGCTTCTTGGAACTAGCACCTGATTATGTGGGTGATATTCTGTGGGAACACCTGGAGCAGATGATAAAAGGTAACTACAGAGACAGAAAGAAGTCTTTTGTTCTAAGGCTTCTCTGACAGACAGAAATAGGACTCTTTCAACACTTACTTCACTATGAAAGGTTTTTGTTACATGTGAAAAGTCAAGATTAAATTTAAAACTTGGTTAATAAAAGCATTATCAATAGTTGTATTATATCCTTTGCACACAAAGGACACGTGCAGGTATCTGCAGAAGCCATTCTGTGCCTAGACTGAGTATCTCTTGCAGTCAAGTTTTATTTAGAATAATCATTGAAATAAATGAGATTAGGATAAGGCTACTGCAGTACCTCATTTGCTAAAAATACATATATTCAACCAAAAGTTGGACAAAATGTGTTCACATCATTACAGGCATTTGGTTTTGTTTCTTTTATGTAGTGTTTTGAGATTATTCAGTAAATGATTGTAAAGATGTCAAGGATGCCTAAGGCATCTTAAGTGAACACTAATGGTGTTGCTAAAACTCCGTGTGTGTTCCCTTGATATGGGAGTGTAATACTCTGTAGTTGCAATTGTTCAGGACTTTGACGTTATTATTTTTGTTTTATGCTAAAAATTCTATTTGTATGATGGTTTTCAAACCTACTAGAAGTTTTTTGTGTTTTGTGAGGTCTTTTGGTCATCTTTTTTGGTGGCTTTCTTATGAGAGAGAAAAGTTGAAGTACGTTAGTAATGAATATGTGAGTGATGACCCCAAACTACTTGACTCAGAAACATTTGTATTCAGAAACATTCTTTACAGGTTAGTTCTTTAAAATCATAAAACCAAGTTTTCTATTTTCTTCTTTCCAGACAGTCAAGAGAAGACACAAGATCAATATGTGGAGAACCCTCATCTCACCTCAGTTCCTCACTGGGTTAACAATAATTCCTTAAGTAAGTATTTTAAGAAATTTGACATTTTAGATATGGTATGTTTATTCTAAGCTTGTCACAGATCCCAGGGGGGTTGCTTTTTTTTTTTTTTTTAAAAAAAAAAAAGGTACCAGAATAGTTACTATGCTTCAGGAAAACACTTCAGTTGCTGCCATCTTCTTTCCTACTATTGTTTAATTGTCATCTATTTCATATCAGAAATCTTTTGAAGAACAAGGGCTATGAAAAAACAAATTTCCTCTTTGAATGCCAAAGCCTACATCTGTGGAGCAGAGTGACCACTCCCACCTCTATCAATCAGTCAAAAAGTAGCAGCAGGAGCTATGTTTAGGCCCTTTTGAAGACTGTAGAAGCGTAACAGAGCTGTTGACGGTGTATGGCACAACCATAGAGACAAAGTGCTCGTTCTCTCAGATAGTGTGATTGGTGTTGTTTTACTGAACCACAGTTTGATCTCTAGGTCAGCCTCATTACATCGCTTAATGATGAGGGCCTTCCTCAAAACCACTTAAGCTTCTCCAGCTTTTTCTGTAGCCCTGTAATTTCCTTGAAGAACAGACAATATACATACTTGTGGTCTGAAGTTCAAGGTGGAGATGAACAGAATCTGATTTGGAGCCCAGTAGATGAGAATCTTCTCAGTGATGTCAGTAGCCTTTCCAGGAGCTCTATACATCTAACACCACTCAGACAGATTTTTTATGGGAAAACTACTACTTAGTGTTATAGCTCTAGTGGGGTGCTTGAGGTGTGTTGGTTTGTTCAAGGTACTGTGGAGAAAACCACTTAATTCATTCTCTTATGTTTTTTTTTCCTTCAGCTGTTAATGTGGATCAGACCCCTTACGGAATGCAAATGCCTGGATACCCTAAAGCTCTCAGTTATCCCAAACCCAGTCTCCTGAGTGACGTCTGCCAGACTTCCACGGGACCAAATCTCCTCAATCCAGAACAAGAGTTTTCATTGTTTCCTAAAACCCAAGTAGATGCAGTTGGGGTCAACTACTGTGCAGTAAATCAAGATTTCACAAGAAGCAATCTGAACTTGCTGATAGATAATTCTGGTGAGTTACCATCCATATAATAATGAATCCAAAACCATACCCTATATATCTTTCCCTCCCTTGCATTGTTTATACATACAAGCTAGAAAAGGGAGGAAAAACACACTTTCCTCTTTCTTTTTTTCTTATGAAGGTAAACTTAGAGAACACGAATCTAGCGACAGTGGTGCAGAAAGTTACGAAAGCTCAGATTCAATGCTGCAGTCCTGGAACAGCCAGTCATCACTAGTGGATTTACAGCGTGTGCCATCCTATGAGAGTTTTGAAGATGACTGTAGCCAGTCCTTGTGTCTGAACAAACCTACAATGTCTTTCAAAGACTATATTCAAGACAGAAGTGATCCTGTAGAGCAAGGGAAACCAGTTATACCAGCAGCAATTCTAGCTGGCTTTACTGGTAAGTGGTGAAGCAAAATGGTCACTCCTCTTCTTATGTAACATATTTATTCTCTATAAGTGTGTGTCTGTGCTGATAAAGGTGTGTAGTATCACAGTATGTCTTACAAGGTGGTGAGAGACCACTACTCATGAGGAGATTCAATTCTAAATGTTTATAAGGAAAGTACCCTAGGACTATCCATCTAAAGTAAGAACACAGGTACATCGGAATGCTGTAGAACTCAAATGTACTTTCTGATCTGTTGAAATGAGGTAAACTTTTAAGTGTTCCTCAGTTCTGAGTTTCTGCAGGTGTTGGCTTACTTATGAGGACCTTGTTCCTGTAGTCCTTGTTGAAATCAGAATTTTCCTATAGAAAGTCTGACAAGACAAAGGCTTCAGGACAGGACATAAGGGCTGACTTGCAGCTGCTGCAAAGTGGGAGGGAGGGGTAAAGAATCTGTATAACGAAGGGAAGCCATAGATTGCATCAGATCCTGTGTTTCTATGACAAAGCTGACGTTTTAATTTCAAAATGTCTATGAGCAGATTTGTGTTACAGAGGGAAATCTTAATTAGGCTTCTTTCTAAAACTTAAAAACAAAAAAAAATGGAGCAATAGTAAGACTTAATTCTGTGGTATGAGTATGGTTGCAAATATTGATTGTGATAAGAGCTGTCCGAAATACTAATTGTGGCTTCTCCCCACCCCTGCTCTCTTAACAGGCAGTGGACCTATACAGCTATGGCAATTCCTGCTGGAGTTACTGACTGACAAATCCTGCCAGTCCTTTATTAGTTGGACTGGAGACGGATGGGAATTTAAACTTGCTGACCCAGATGAGGTATGTGGTTAATTGCAATCTACAAAAAGATTTAGGGTCTGATCCACCATCTGTGGGCCTCATCTTGAACATAAAGCATTTGCAAGATCAGACACTTGCTGAAGTCTCTTCATCTGCAAATGCTTTACTGTGTGGTCAGGATGCTGTGGGATGCTCCCCCTCCCCCTGGAATAGCAGCATTTGCTTGCAGTTATGAGAACTCATTGTATAGTTCAAAACTTAAAAGTAACATACAAAGTTAGCTGTTTCAACAGGGTAAGCAATACTGTAGATTAACTTACTTAATGTAACTGTATCAGCAGTGTCTGGGATTGCACAAAGATGAGTGGAAAAGGCACCTGAGGTATCTCAGGTCATTTAGATAAACGGCAGATATGGTAGAGCTGCTTTTTAAATTTGTTAGAAACTTAAAGCATTGGTATTAAAAATAAAGATAATACACTTTCATTTTCCAATTACTGTTATCAGTGGCAAAGTTCATGTGTTAAGAGACATGATATCAAGTCCACTGAAGCCCTCTTTTTTCTTTTTTCTATACTTAAAATAGGGGACAGGAGGGGGGAATCCTCAACTCCAAGGGACTTCTTATAATTCAACTTCCATTTAAAAAGCTGTTCCATGCTGCTAAATAGCAAATGAACTCTTAAACTGTGTCTCCTGTCAAAGGAGAAACTATATTTCACTTAAGCTTGATCTCCTTAAACACATTTGGGCCCATCCCCTGCCAAGAGGTGTCCTTTTCACTTCCACTTTGTCATGCTCACCTTAGTCAAGCTACAGCTGGCAGCTGTCCTGGAGTTTGTCCACTCACCAACTCTTGTGCTATCCACACTTGGGACATCCAAGTAGATAAAATGCTCTGACCAAGAAGGGATTTTAGTAGCTGCATTTATTTGCCACTAACAGAAAGAACATGTCTTGAAAAAATCCTTTACATTTGCTTTCTTTTTGGACTGGCAGGTGGCACGGAGGTGGGGAAGAAGAAAAAACAAGCCAAAAATGAACTATGAGAAACTCAGCCGAGGGCTACGCTACTATTATGACAAGAACATCATCCACAAGACATCAGGGAAGCGATATGTGTACCGCTTCGTGTGTGACCTGCAGAACTTGCTGGGGTACACGGCAGAGGAGCTGCACGCGATGCTGGGGGTGCAGCCGGACACCGAGGACTGAGCCCGACTGCCTGGTGCCGTGCCGGTGGAGACCCAGCATTGGGACTGTGACCAGGAGCCATCTGCAGTCAGTTCTAACGGCTGTTCAGATGGGTGCAACGGTGGTGAAATAAGGACCTTGACTGATTTTTTTTGTAACCAGCAGAAGTTGGAAGGAAGTGGCCTTATTTCATCAGTGGCTTCAGTTGTTGCTGTGTCATGCACTTGAGCAGTATGGATGTTGGCACAGATCGCAGCTCTGTCATGAAGACACAGAAGTGCTCTGGGCTTGAGCATTTCAACTACCTGTACTGCCACATAAAGTGTTTCGGCTACTTAACACTGCCATATGATGGGTTGGCTTTGAAACCAAAGGTTGGATGAGGAAACCAGTGATGCAGCGGAACCATTGCTCAGATTCTTTTTTTAACATACAGTCATCCTTGCTTCCATCTTATATCATGCAGTTTATTTAAAAGTATATAATTTATTTTAAATGAGCAGTAAGAAGAATATTAATGTGTTCTCAAGCACGTTTTATTATTATTACTTCAGAAATGTGCTGCAGGTACATCAACAACACTCTGTGTCCAAAACCAGATGTAGCAACTGTTTAAAAAAAAAAAAACACCCTTTTTAAGAAGGGAAGGAAAATCATACCATTTCAATATCCAGTTTTGTATATATTCTGTGATTATTTTTTTTGAAACTCTGTAATGTTCCTATTTAACAGATAATGTATAGTGTAAATTAAACTAATTGTATGTGTGTTTTGAAATAGGATGAATGTAAACTTATCAAATGGCTATTTCATGTTTGTCTAGGTTATACAACCTTCTGCAAATATTTAATTGGCCTAAGAGACAACATACATACTCAGTATGCATGCATATGGTATGCCTATGATATGAAATGTATTGGGGGGGAGGGGGGGAGGACTGGCACAGTATTTTGCCAAGACTGAAGTTGGCAATTCTTTGTGCATTTTGGCATTTTTACAAGAAACTAATATAATATTCTGGGACATTAAGGGCCTATTTGTGGTTTCTTCTTTATCTGAAAAACAAAAATATGGATAAAATTACCTTTTTTCATTTATAAATGGCATATGTTTTTCAACTTCTATGCATGTCCTTTAAACAAAATTTATATACAAGCCTTATTTTTTCAGTTGACTTGTCTTCTTCCTGCAGTTTATCCTGTATGATGAAAATATGAATTCTATTTTTGGAAATAACTGTGACTCCTTTTCAAAGATCAGGAGGGATTTATGTAGCAGCTATTTTTACTGCACAAAAAATACACAATTCACTGGAAAAATGTACTTTGTAAGAAAGCTTTATTTTTTATCTGAGCTTGATGTACATTTAAATGTGTTGTACAATGTGAGAGGTTTAAAAACAAGTCCTTATTAAAAACCTCTTGAACAGGAAAGAAAAAGAGCTTGTGCTTTTTTAACACGAAGTTTCAGAGTGTAAGGGAAGGGGGAGGAATATCCCTGAAATAAACCTCTGCAGGGGTGTAAGGGGGGGAAAAAAGTGGCTGTAGAAAGCTTGTTAGAGGAAATTCTGCAAGATTGGTAGGCTAATGGCCGTGAACTAAACTAAATAGATGCCGGTGCTCTGTGTTTAGATATAAATTAGAAGCTAATGCCTTTGTTCCATGCCTTTGAAAGAAAACTGGCATTTCAAATTGTATTGTGTACTAATATGTAACTATGCGTTAATACATGGAAGAACAGAGGTGTGTTAAGACTGCTTGTGCTTGAACTGCTCCTGATTTTATTGCAGACAGTGAGCCTATTGTTGTAATTATCTTCATCTCATACTCCTCTCTGTCCCTACACATTATATTTCAGAAGTTTTTTGGTTTTTTTTGTTTGTTTTTTTTGAAATGCACTTTAAAAGTACTTCCTCTAGGTTTCTTAATCTTTCTCTCTATCTAAGTGTGGCCATACCTTGATCTTGCTTTCAGTACTGTCACCCTGGTTTAGCAGTATGTTAAAGATCTGAAGAAAAGGGTGGGTAACTTTTCTAAGAATGTGCCTTTCTAAATGGCTGGAGCTGAAAGGGTAGGTCTGCATCTTGCACCACACCACAGCCCCGGTCTTCTAAGTTTGCAGAGATCATCCTTTAGTCTTACTTTTCATGGTCCCTGTGGAGGAAAAGAAGCCACCCACATCCTTCCTCCCTTCACCCCAAGCACTGCTGCAGGCCTACATGCAACCCAGCGGGTGTTGGCCATGGAGGGTTTCATGCTAAGGGTGAAAGGATGTAAGGGCTATAGAGAGATTTGCATGGGCTGAGCCAGAAAGTGGTAAGAAGAGAAAACAAAAGCAACAAACAAAACCCACAAGTTTCCCTGGGTTTGAGGGAACTGTCCTAAAAAGACTGTTAACTTTAAGCTACTTGAATGACCTGCTTTGAGATGTGGCCCTGTTGAGGGGAGATAGCTGATTTTGGAAGAAATCATCTATAGTCTGTAATTGTTTGTTTCCCCTGGGTGTCTTTCTCTCATGTTGGCTACAAAACCTTATTCGTTCTCTCAATCTGTAGAAGTTCCATTTTCAGTCTGTTCTTCCTAAACTCAGGCCCATTTTTTTTGTTCAGACCAAAAGCGTGTTTGTCTCTGGTTTGCATGATCAATGATAGCTTAAACCTAGGTACTAAAGGGAGGTTGCTTGTTTTTATTGCTCAGTAGAAACAGACATTTCATGATAGCAGAAGCAACCAAGTATGCTGACACACAGTCTTCAGTAGCAAAACCTGGTATCCTGCACTGGGTTGGGTCAATGCAGTGGTACAAGCTGTAACCCAGTGTGACCCAGAAGACAATTATTAAAGGATATTTGCTCACAGTGCACACAGAAAACACTGCTTTGTTTTCTCAGCCACCCAGCATCAAAGAAGCTGTTGAAAGTCTGGCTAAATTCTTTACCTTCTTCAGGACATGCCTCCCTGCCCTTCCAGCTGCCAGCTTTCCTCATGAGACACCAGTCAAAATAAAGTGTTGCAGTTGGCACCTACCCATAGCTGGCATGTCACCTCTAATAACAACGTTATTAGAGGACTTCAAAGCACTCTTTGCTTTTTTTTTTTTTTTTGCTTTTTTTTTTTTTTTATATATATATATGTATAAACCAATTTTAAATAAAACAATACCTCTGGGTTGGGAAATCTGTGAGCCACAAGGGCTTGATCTCCAGGAGGCTATTTTGGGAAACATCTGTCTACTGTGCCCTATTCATACACTCATCTTAGGTCTTGACTCTTGGCCACAATCAGGTACAGAATAGGGGCATAAGAAATGGGGCAGATGATGCATCACTTAGACCAGTACTTTATTTCCGCAAGTGGGAGATGGAGCAAGTAACCTTGGCCACCTTCTGCAGGTCCATTTCCCTTGTACTCCCTCAGCATACCCCTGCTGTGTTTGGCCTGTGGGAGGGAACACCCTGCCCAGACCTTTCATTACCTATTTAAGGACTTCTTGCTTTACCCAGACCATAAGGAGGCCTTGTGTGCTATTCCATTCACTCACCCTTGTGCGTGCTGCTACCAGCACCAAGGTATTGTTCTGCCAAATCTCTTTTAGGCTTTCTCTTGCCACGAGTAGGTGGTGGGCCACCACTTTGCTGATGTAGGACCACATCTGTCAATGAACAAGATCATCAGCAGCTGGTACAATATGGAAACACAGCATCTGGCCATCCAGAGGGTTCAATACTCTACAAAGAGCTCTGAAACTATCTTACACTGTAAATGTCGCTCAGAAACAGGAACCTCTCATATTCTTATTGAATAAGCCTCTTGGAATTAAAAAAGAAGAACTAAAATTCAATTTACGTGTTCACAGCACTAGCAGAAAGTATTTTGGATATTTTCTTCAAGGACGGTCCAAATTTTGACAGAGTAAGGAATTGCCACATCTCAGCCATCTCAGTGTATCTTGTATCTCATGCCTCTTTTTTCTCCTGTGTGAAGCTGAGCACCAGTTCAACCACGTGTGTTCACACGGCCATGTGACTGCAGCAGTGTTTCATATGCTGGACATGTGAATGGTCAACATGCCAAAGAGGGAATAAAAGATGTCCCTGTAAGCAAGAGGAATTAAAAATTCAGCCCAGTGTGTGTAATCTTTGAGAAAGATATCTAGTATCCCATTTGTAATGGGTGCCATGTGATGAGTAGTCCGAAACCACACAATACGGAAAGGTATTAAAAATAAATTAAATACATTGGCCAGTGATAACATATTATGCTCCATGAAAGTTGATATTTTCAAGTGAAAAGTCTCATTTATGAATGGAAGAGTTTTAAGAGAATTCTGTGGCTTGAGGATGAAGTATCAGAACATGTCATTTTTATTCCTTCCAAGCCTTTTGTCATTTACACTACTGTAAATGATGAGTTTAAGAAAATATATTGAGTAGCAAGTATAAAAAGCATAACGAACTCACAGCATGTGCAAAAAAAAGGTATGTTCTTTGGTAGATACTTTTCACAGATGATCTCTAGATAGCTAGCAAAATGGCCCAAACTCTCTTATAACGCATTTTCAGTGATTTTTTGCATCATGGCTTAAGAGTTCTAATGTATCCTGATGCAATTCCTCTGAAGCCTGCATATCCAAAAAGTCCTTGTTTATTTATTTTCATGGTTTTTTTTTTTCACTGTAAGCAGTGAGCTGGAAGTGAGTGGTGTGGAAATGGAAGGAGTCATAGAATCATAGAATCATAGAATATCCTGAGTTGGAAGGGACCCTTAAGGATCATCAAGTCCAACTCTTGACACCGCACAGGTCTACCCAAGTTCAGACCATGTGACTAAGTGCACAGTCCAATCTCTTCTTAAATTCAGTCAGGCTCGGTGCAGTGACCACTTCCCTGGGGAGCCTGTTCCAGTGTGCAACCACTCTCTCTGTGAAGAACCCCTTCCTGATGTCCAGCCTAAACTTCCCCTGCCTCAGCTTAACTCCATTCCCGCGGGTCCTGTCGCTGGTGTTAATGGAGAAAAGGTCTCTTGCCTCTCGACACCCCCTTACGAGGAAGTTGTAGACTGCGATGAGGTCTCCCCTTAGCCTCCTCTTCTCCAGGCTGAACAGGCCCAGTGCCCTCAGCCGTTCCTCGTACGTCTTCCCCTCCAGGCCTTTCACCATCTTCGTAGCCCTCCTCTGGACACTCTCCAACAGTTTCATGTCCTTTTTATACTGTGGTGCCCAGAACTGCACACAGTACTCGAGGTGAGGCCGCACCAGCGCAGAGTAGAGCGGGACAATCACCTCCCTCGACCTACTAGCGATGCCGTGCTTGATGCACCCCAGGACACGGTTGGCCCTCCTGGCTGCCAGGGCACACTGCCGGCTCACATTCAACTTGTTGTCTACCACGACCCCCAGATCCCTCTCTTCTAGGCTGCTCTCCAGCGTCTCATCGCCCAGTCTGTACGTGCAGCCAGGGTTTCCCCGTCCCAGGTGCAGGACCCGGCACTTGCTCTTATTGAATTTCATGCGGTTGGCGATCAGCACACCGATTAGAGCATCTCACCTGGGTGAACACTCCTGTGTATTGGGGCTGGCTAACCGCACTCTTCTAGCCACCCAGGTACTTGCACATGGGCCTGAAGGCAACACAAGCTGGTGGTCATACCCCTCCTTTCTGGAAAACTGGGGCTGGGCTTGACCTCCTGAAGTGTGTACGGTCAAAGGAGATGGTGGAGGAGAGATGGCTCCCACCCCTCTTGGTGTACAACATGCTCACTTGCTTGGCAAGGTCTGGGGTCATAGAATCACAGAAACATAAAATGGCTTGGGTAGGAAGGGAGCTTAAAGATCATCTAATCCAACCCCCATGCCATGGGCAGGGGCACCTCCCACCAGACCAGCTTGTCCAAAGCTCCATCCAACATGGCCTTGAGCACTTCCAGGGATGGGGCATCCACAGCTTCTCTGGGTAACCTGTGCCAGTGCCTCACCACCCTCTGAGTGAAGAATTTCCTCCTAACTTCTAACCTAAATCTCCCCTCTTTTAGTTTAAAACCATTTCCCCTTGTCCTTCCAATTATCTGTCCAGGCAAAAAAAGTTGCTCTCCATCTTTTTTATAAGCCCCCTTTAAGTAATAAAAAGTTGCAATGAGGTCTCCCTGGAGCCTTCTCTTCTTCAGGCTGAACAGCCCCAGCTCTCTCAGCCTTTCATAGAAGAGGTGCTCCAGCCCTCTGAGCATCTTTGTGGCCCTCCTCTGGACACGCTCTAACAGCCCCACATCCTTCTTGTGCTGGAGGCCCCAGACCAGGATGCAGCACTCCAAGTGGTGCCTGACACGGGCAGAGCAGAGTGGAAAAATCAGCTCACTTAAACTGTTGTCCACTTTTTTTTTGGTGAAGCCCAGGATGCAGGTGGCCTTCTGGGATACAAGCGTGCATTGCTGGCTCATGTTGTTTAC